TACTGTTTCCATTCATTTTTATTTTTACTTTATTCACTAGATGGATATTTTTCTTTTATAAAAGACTACCCATCATGGGTGAAAGTATCTGTCATTGCCCCATAGCATTTGAATTTGCAAAAGTTCTAAGAGTTAGTAAACAATACTATTAAATGTATGTTAAAATACTAGTTTCATTTCTATAATTGCAGATAATCCAGAGATGTGAAAAGGCAAGCTTACATTTTAGATTCAAAATCACGGTTTTTCACGTATATTTTTAACTGTTTCTTCATTGACTATATTAAGAAAGATGCAATTTTAGAAATAAAATTATTTAATAAAGCTTAAGAATATGCAATTATATTTATAAAATCTGATATTTTTCACATTGTAAGTTATTGCCTTTTTCACATCAATTATGTTTCCCATAAAATTAAATATATGCAAAAAATGTAATAAGAGATTTTTCACCTTGCAAATAACATATCTGGAGACAGAAATGGATAAATACTTTTAGCATACAAAATTAATGAAGAGTTCATCTGTGATGAAAATAATCCTGAGACAGATGTACTTTTAAAAATGTCTGAATTCCTCAGTATATTCTTGCTGCTAAGTTGCTTCAGTCGTGTCTGACTCTGTGCGACCCCATAGACAGCAGCCCACCAGGCTCCTCCGTCCCTGGGATTTTCCAGGCAAGAACACTGGACTGGGTTGCCACTTCCTTCTCCAACAGTATATTCTTAAGTAACAGTAAATTATAATCTCTTATTCAAAGAATATCTATTTCAGTGTTTTTAATCCCTTACACTATAAAATTTCTTTAAAAAATAATTCTTATGTTGTTAGTTCAAGTGAACAATTATTAAAGACTAACGAACAATTATTTGTTTCTCTAGTATGCTTTTTTAATAAACTAAGGGAGCCAAGTCATCAGCATAGAATAAGTCAGGGAACACTGATTTCCTGCACAAATTTTAATCTATTATAATCTATCAAAACCGCTACAGGAATTAAAAGGCAGTGGTTTATTCTATGCTATAAACAATCAAAGTTCCATTACATCTAAAACACATTATTGCTAAAAAAAAAAAAATGCACAGTATTACTAATCTATAAAAACATCCAATTATCTATAAAAATTTATCTATTAAAAACTCATATCTATTTTTAAGGAATAACTCTACATAGTAAAAATCCAGTTATATATAACTTTTAAGTTTACTAAATCAAAATTAATGTTTTCCTTACAGAATCAATAACATTTACTTCTATACCAATGAAGTTGTATCCATGATCAACAATTTACCTTCCTGAAATTCAATATCATTCAATGGAAAAGATTCTCTATTAACATGATCACATTTTTAAACAGCCAATTTAGGGCAGTAAATGGGGATATGTAATGAAGAGGGGGATATGTGATGTAGAAAGCCATATGGAAGTGCCCTTCTACATATTTCACTAACAATGGTGGTGGTGAAGAGCTTCCTCCTTCCAAAATCTTAGGGAAAAGACCCTAAGATTGTAATGGTTATAGCTAAGGAAAGTTGGTTTGGAGTCTTAAAGTGGAGGGAAATAATTTTTCTTAATAAAACTCTCATGTTTCATGTAATAAATTTTATAACCTAAGCTACAGGAAGCTGCTAAGAGCTATGACTTGTTTTGTATACTATAGTCCTCAACACTTTATGTACATAAAATTCTCAAAATACACAGCGATTTTTTAACCCACCACAAACAGGCTGATGAAACACACAGTCACCTTTATATAAATGAATACTCTCTGAGTTAACTACAAGGCTTAAATAACAATTCACAAAATAATCTACCCTACATCAAAGTGTAAAGTCTACATGTAAAGTCTTCTATCAGCTACAAATCCACAAAATCTGGAACTAGTCCAGGCAACTCAACCAAATACAAAGCATCTGAAGTTAAAAGTCAACTAATATAATAAAAAAAGTAATAACTTTTAAAAGTCAGGTTGTTAAATCCTCACATAATACTACACATTTTGAAAAGTTTTAGTAACTAAAAATATTAATAATGATAGTTTTAAAAATTTATTTAAAACTGCTTAATGAGAATAAGTGACTTAAAAAAGCTCTGTATGCTAGAAAAATTGTGTGTATGTGTGTGTGTGTGTGTGTGTGTGTGTGTGTGTGTGTGCGCGCGCACGCGCGCGCACATATAAAGCTTACTTTTAAACCTAATGTTTAGTTTTTCTTTACAACTCCAAAGTATATACAGGAAACTCTAGAAGTAGTACAGAAAAAATCCAGAGGTCCCTCTTCTTGCCTAAATGTGTACATAACTGGAGTAAATGCCAGTTAGAAATACATATATACTACATATACATCTCTTATTCTATACAAAAATCCCCATAAATATTTTCCCAAGCGGACAGGAAAATTTATTTTCTCAAATTGAAAGCTTTTGCCCACTAAAAATATTTAAATTTGTTCTCAAAATTATAGTAGTATTATATTCAACAGTTATTTCCATGCGAAAACTTCAATATCAGTAGGGTATCACAGTCAATAAATCTGTTCAGTGAATACTGAGAAATCTAAAATTATCCAGATTGCATAAAGATGAAAATGTTTGCTATTTCAGAATGACATGCACCTGGTTAAAAATTAGGGCTCTATCCAAGACAATCTACAGATTTTGTGCTTTATCTATCAAAATTCCAGTGGCATTTTTACAGAAATAGAACAAATAATCCTAAAATGTGTATAAAACCAAAAAAAGCTCTAAATAGTCAAAACAATCTTAAGAAAGAAAACAAAGCTAGAGGTATCATGCTCCCTGATTTCAAAATATATTATAAAGCTATAGTAATCAAAAAAGTATGATACAGGCACAAAATAAATGAAACAAAATAGAGAACCCAGAAATAAATCCACACTTATATGGCCAATTAGTCTACCATAAAGGGTGGAAATTTTCTTCAATAAATGCTGTTGAGAAAACTAAACAGCCACATACAGTCACATGCAAAAGAAAGGAAACTGAACCACTATCTCACACTATACACAAAGATCAACTCAAAATGTATTATGACTTAAAATGGAAGACCAGAAATCATAAACCTCCTAGAAGAAAATATAAGCAATAAGATCTATGACATAGGTATTGGCAATGATTTTTTAAAATCTGACACCAAAAGCAAAGGCAGGCAATAAAAGCAAAAAATAAACAAGTGGGACTACATTAAACTGAATAACTTTTACACAGCAAAGGAAATCATCAACAAAATGAAAAAGCATCCTACTTAAACAGGGAAAAATATCTGCAAGTCACATATCTAATAATGGATTAATACCTAAAATAGATAAATAATAAAATTAAATATTAAAAAATCCAATTTAAAAATGGGCATATTATCTGAACAGACATTTTCTTCAAAGAAGACATATAAACAGTCAACAGGTACATGAGAAGATGTTCAACATCACTAACAATTAGGGAAATGCAAATAAAAACCACAAAGAGCTACCACTTCACACCTGTTAGAATGGCCATATCACCAAAAAGACAATAAATAATAAATGCTAGTAAGGATGTAGAGAAAAGGGAACCCTTGTGCTATGTTGGTGGGAATATAAATTGATGCAGCTACTATGGAAAACAGCATGGAGGCTCCTCAAAAATTGAAGAGAGAATTACCACATGAGCCAGTGACTCCACTTCTGGGTATTTATCTGAAGAAAGCACTAACTTGAAAAGATATATGCATCTCTATGTTCATTACAGCATTATTTACAATAGCCAAGATAAGGAAATGATCATCTTCATCATCAGTGGATGAAGAAAATGTGATACATATACATGTGCATGTGTGTGTGTCTATGTGTGTCTGTGTATACATATATGTATGTCTACATACATGTGTCTATGTATGTATGTCTACATATATGTATATGAATATGTGTAGATCTATAAAGGAAAAGTATTTAGCCATAAAAAATAATGAAATTTTGCCATCTCCAACAACATGATGGACTTCTGGGCATTATGTGAAGTGAAGTAAGAAAAAGAAATGATATCATTTATATGGAATCTGGGGAGGGGGGAAGCTTATATAAAGACAAGCTCTAAGATAAATAGAACATGATTAGTGTTTTCCAGAGGCAGAAGTGGAAGTGAGGGTGGAATGAAATGAGTGAAGGTCAAAAAGGTACATTTTTTAAGTCATGGGGATATAATATATAGCATGGTGACTATACTTAGTAATACTACACTGTATAGTTTAAAGTTGCTAATGGAGTAAATCTTAAAACTTCTCATCACAAGAAAAAAATCTGTTATAACTATGTATGGTGACAAATGTTAACCGGACTTACTGTAGTGATCATTTTGCAATGTATATAAATACAAAATCATTATGTTATACACCTGAAAAATAATATAATGTTATAAGTCAAATGTACTTTTCTAATTATACTTTAATTTTTAAAATTAGGGCAATTAATAGCACACTTAAATCACATTAGCTGAATTCAAGTTTAGTTCCTAAATACTTATTTATGAAATAAAAATTCAACCTAAATTACTTGATTATTACTTTCTTTTGCTACTTATTTCAAGCTATAAAGCTCATGTAAAAGACTGTAACTTGATATAGGTATCCTCTATTATAGGTCTCTATGTAATTATCTATAAACCCCCATAGAAACAATACTGAACCAATCAGGCATACCATTTTCTTTTCATTCCATTTTATAAATAAGAACTTCTAACCCAGCTCAACAATTAATCCCATTTCAAATTATTGATCTGAAAAAAAAAATTAGAGGTACATTTTTAAAACAGTATAGTATGAAATAAATCTTACTTTTCATTGAGTAAGTGAAACTTGTTTTTATGGCTATTTGGATTACTTCTTCTAGGTAACTTTAGTATGTAACTCTTATTCTTTAGTCAAAACCCACAGACTTAAAATGTATAAAAAAGTTAACCTGGTATTGTCAGCTGCAGGTATCATAACTAGCACCGTAAGAACAACTGTACTAAATTTTAATGCTGTTCATTAATAGTTCCATTTTCCTGAGTTTGCGTTTGTTCTTTGGCATTGGCTTAGGATATAATCCATTTTTCAGAAGATGTTCCTTGCTGAGGCGAATTTGAGCACCATGCTGAAGCTGGAAAGAGCATAAAGCCTGAAGAGGGCGAAGCAAAGTCTGTTAAGACAAAAAAAAAACCATACACAAGTGTGACAAATCATAAATTTTTTCTCTGGAAACAGAGATTATTATATTTTTATTATCAGCTGTTAATTATGAAAAGCAATAGCTACTCTAATAAATATATGATAATTTCTAAATGAATAATTCATATAAATTCATACCATACATACCACTAAGGAATTCCAGTAAGAAGATACAAATACTAATTTTCTATATAGGTGATAAAGTCTAAACTTAGTTTTACACTTTAATATATTCAAACAGTACAAAAATTGGTACCATTATAATAACTGGTTTGTAACAAGCAGACTAAAAGAGACATTTCAGTACAAATTAGTTTAATTCAGTTTCAATCACAGACTAACACAAGCTTCCTGCTCCTTGATAACAATTAGATGATGGCAGCAATGGATAAGTTTACTAATTCTCTTACAATACTCCATGGCCTACGTACATGCTCAGCTGCTTCAGTCGTGTCCAACTCTTTGCAACCTATGGACCCTTCCAGGCTCCTCTGTCCATGGGATTTTGCAGACAAGTATACTGGAATGGGTTGCCATTTCCTCCTCCAGGGGATCTTCCCGACCCAGGGATCAAACCTGCATTTCTGTGTCTCCTGCATTGCAGGTGGATTCTTTATCGCTGAGCCACTGGGGAAGCCCACCCAAGGCCCACATACGAGTTAGATATTCAGGTTTGGGTGCATTTGAAATAACTCTAACTGTATATATAGCAGTCTAAACTCAAATACCTATAGAGCCAGACATAAAACACAAACATGTGACCTAAATGGACCCATAAGATAACACAAGAATAGTGAAGGTTGTAAAACAACTGGAGCATACGGTCCTTGAAGTTATTCAAACTCAAAAGTTAGGAAAAAATGAAAAGATTAAGCCAACATTTTAAACATATTTGAGTCAGATTCTTTCCTTGGGCCTAAGATACCTGATCTAACTCTTTTAAATAACAAACCTGATTGTGCAGATTGTTTTGAAAAAATAAAAAGATACATAGATCTTTTTAGTTAGGCAGTTAAATCTAAAGATAGATTTAACTACAAAAATTTCACAATGTCTAAGTAAAAATGTATTCCCTCACAGGTACAACATAAGTGGTAGCAAAGGGCTTTTAAGTTTTAATTTACAATGAATTCTTACAAATATGTGGCACTCACTGATAGTTGCTCTTCCATATCCATTCTTTTCTTCCTTATTTCAAAAAAATCCAAAACTTCATTCAAGATGGCAATGTGTCCAACTAGTAATACTACACTAACTAGTGACAGTGTATCCAACAAAATAAGTGGAAGGCCTTGGATTAGGACAGACTTAGCAGGCATCACAGGTTTTTGCCTTTTCTTCATATCTGGAACATGATTGTTAGATGTGAGATAACCATTATGTGACTACAGGGCAATAAAAATGAAGATTAAAGCAAAAATATACAATGATGAACAGAAAGAGAAGAAATCTGGGTCTCTGATGCCCTCTTCAGCTGCATCCCCAGCCCTGAACTACTCACTTCAGCATTTCTGATTCACAGGAAAAAAATAAGCCCATATATGGTTCAACCACAGCAGTAAGGCCTCTGTTATATGCAACCAAATGAAACTCCCAACTGACACCAATAAGAAAAAGACAAACATATTGGAAAAAGCTCTGACACTGCTGTAGAAAATCTCTGGTATGTTCTTATAATTTTAGCATCTTCAATTCTTCAAACAAGAGAAGAAATACAGAAATGACTATATATTACTTTAAGGGTCAACGTAGGAAGTGACTGGATCCTGAAACATCATATCAGAGACACACATCCAGGACCATATACAGACTAAGACAACTGAAGTTTCTATTGCTATGCTATGACATTTACTAGATTCTTCATGATAGAAGAGTAATGCTCCTATAATACTCCTCTAACTCCTATAAGGGCTTCCAACTTTTACTTCCCGAAGATAAGATTCTATCAATTCTCTGAAGTAATTAAGAGAACGAATTTTGGAGATAGACAGATTTGTGATAGTCACTAGAGCTGCTTACAAATACACCAGTCCTCTTTCAGGATACATGATCAGACTGCATTTTTCTAGTCCCCTCTGAAGCTAGGTATGGCCATATAACTTGACATGGTTAACAAAATATAAGCATGAATAGTGTGTATCATCTCTGGACAGATGCTTTAAAAGTGGTTAATGATTCCCCACGTCCTCTCACTCCTTCCTTGATAAAAGAATGATGTGTCTAGATGGTGCATCTATTAGCCTGCATCACTAACTATTATTAGTAGAGGTCCACTGGCAACCCCACTGTACAGAGAGTGTATTTTTTTTGTTTTGTTTTCTTTGACCTAGTGTATTTTATTTTATTTTTTTTTCCCATTTATTTTTATTAGTTGGAGGCTAATTACTTTACATCATTGCAGTGTTTTTTGTCATACATTGAAATGAATTAGCCATGGATTTACATGTATTCCCCATCCCGGTCCCCCCTCCCACCTCCCTCTCCACCCGATCCCTCTGGGTCTTCCCAGTGCACCAGGCCTGAGCACTTGTCTCATGCACCCAACCTGGGCTGGTGATCTGTTTCACCCTAGATAATATACATGTTTCGATGCTGTTCTCTTGAAACATCCCACCCTCAGCTTCTCCCAGAGTCCACAAGTCTGTTCTATACATCGGAGTCTCTTTTTCTGTTTTGCATATAGGGTTATCGTTACCATATTTCTAAATTCCATATATATGTGTTAGTATACTGTAATGGTCTTTATCTTTCTGGCTTACTTCGCTCTGTATAATGGGCTCCAGTTTCATCCATCTCATTAGAACTGATTCAAATGAATTCTTTTTAATGGCTGAGTAATATTCCATGGTGTATATGTACCACAGCTTCCTCATCCATTCGTCTGCTGATGGGCATCTAGGTTGCTTCCATGTCCTGGCTATTATAAACAGTGCTGCGATGAACATTGGGGTGCACGTGTCTCTTTCAGATCTGGTTTCCTTGGTGTGTATGCCCAGAAGTGGGATTGCTGGGTCATATGGCAGTTCTATTTCCGGCTTTTTAAGAAATCTCCACACTGTTTTCCATAGTGGCTGTACTAATTTGCATTCCTACCAACAGTGTAAGAGGGTTCCCTTTTCTCCACACCCTCTCCAGCATTTATTGCTTGTAGACTTTTGGATAGCAGCCATCCTGACTGGCGTATAATGGTACCTCATTGTGGTTTTGATTTGCATTTCTCTGATAATGAATGATGTTGAGCATCTTTTCATGTGTTTGTTAGCCATCTGTATGTCTTCCTTGGAGAAATGTCTGTTTAGTTCTTTGGCCCATTTTTTGATTGGGTCATTTATTTTTCTGGAGTTGAGCTGGAGAACTTGCTTGTATATTTTTGAGATTAATCCTTTGTCTGTTGCTTCGTTTGCTATTATTTTCTCCCAATCTGAGGGCTGTCTTTTCACCTTGCTTATAGTTTCCTTTGTTGTGCAAAAGCTTTTAAGTTTCATTAGGTCCCATTTGTTTATTTTTGCTTTTGTTTCTAAAATTCTGGGAGGTGGGTCATAGAGGATCCTGCTGTGATTTATGTCGGAGAGTGTTTTGCCTATGTTCTCCTCTAGGAGTTTTATAGTTTCTGGTCTTACATTTAGATCTTTAAACCATTTTGAGTTTATTTTTGTGTATGGTGTTAGAAAGTGTTCTAGTTTCATTCTTTTACAGGTGGTTGACCAGTTTTCCCAGCACCACTTGTTAAAGAGGTTGTCTTTTTCCCATTGTATATCCTTGCCTCCTTTGTCGAAGATAAGGTGACCATAGGTTCGTGGATTTATCTCTGGGCTTTCTATTCTGTTCCATTGATCTATATTTCTGTCTTTGTGCCAGTACCATACTGTCTTGATGACTGTGGCTTTGTAGTATAGTCTGAAGTCAGGCACATTGATTCCTCCAGTTCCATTCTTCTTTCTCAGGATTACTTTGGCTATTCGAGGTTTTTTGTATTTCCATACAAATTGTGAAATTATTCATTCTAGTTCTGTGAAAAATACCGTTGGTAGTTTGATAGGGATTGCATTGAATCTATAGATTGCTTTGGGTAGTATAGCCATTTTGACAATATTGATTCTTCCAATCCATGAACACGGTATATTTCTCCATCTGTTTGTGTCCTCTTTGATTTCTTTCATCAGTGTTTTATAGTTTTCTATGTATAGGTCTTTTGTTTCTTTAGGTAGATATACTCCTAAGTATTTTATTCTTTTTGTTGCAATGGTGAATGGTATTGTTTCCTTAATTTCTCTTTCTGTTTTCTCATTGTTAGTGTATAGGAATGCAAGTGATTTCTGTGTGTTAATTTTATATCCTGCAACTTTACTGTATTCGCTGATTAGCTCTAGTAATTTTCTGGTAGAGTCTTTAGGGTTTTCTATGTAGAGGATCATGTCATCTGCAAACAGAGAGAGTTTCACTTCTTCTTTTCCTATCTGGATTCCTTTTACTTCTTTTTCTACCCTGACTGCTGTGGCCAACACTTCCAAAACTATGTTGAATAGGAGTGGTGAGAGTGGGCACCCTTGTCTTGTTCCTGATTTCAGGGGAAATGCTTTCAATTTTTCACCATTGAGGGTGATGCTTGCTGTGGGTTTGTCATATATAGCTTTTATTATGTTGAGGTATGTTCCTTCTATTCCTGCTTTCTGGAGAGTTTTAATCATAAATGGATGTTGAATTTTGTCAAAGGCTTTTTCTGCATCTATTGAGATAATCATATGGTTTTTATCTTTCAATTTGTTAATGTGGTGTATTACATTGATTGATTTGCGGATATTAAAGAATCCTTGCATTCCTGGAATAAAGCCCACTTGGTCATGATGTATGATTTTTTTAATATGTTGTTGGATTCTGTTTGCTAGAATTTTGTTAAGGATTTTTGCATCTATGTTCATCAGTGATATTGGCCTGTAGTTTTCTTTTTTTGTGGCATCTTTGTCTGGTTTTGGAATTAGGGTGATGGTGGCCTCATAGAATGAGTTTGGAAGTTTACCTTCTTCTGCAATTTTCTGGAAGAGTCTGAGTAAGATAGGTGTTAGCTCTTCTCTAAATTTTTGGTAGAATTCAGCTGTGAAGCCATCTGGTGTATTATGCCATTCTCAGTTTGGAGTTTTAAGTACTGATGCAATCACCAGCTATGTGTTTCCAGATAAATTGGGTAATCTCTATTTGCCTCACTTTCTTAATCTGTAAAGTGAGGAATATGTAAGATGTAAAGTCCATCTTACATGGTTATTATTATGGTGGGCTATAATGATACATTTGAAGTGCTTAGCAAACAACTTGATATAAAGGATCATTTTTCTCTATACATTCATAATATTATATCTGAGGCAATGTGAAGCTATATGAGAGGTTTACTTGTTCAGAAGAACAAAGAAAATCCTCTAGTTACAAAATTACCTAATTTCTAAAAGTTTATTTGGGGGAAAATCAGGGATCTGTAAATCCCTTGTCCACAGATGCAAAGTGACAGTTTCAAAAGACCATTATTACCAACTTCTGGTGATGGAGTAGAACTAAGGCATTTCGGCTACAGCACAAAGCCTTGCCCCATCTAGTTATAAAACTTCATAAGGTTTCCAAGGTATGAAAAATCCTCGTACATATTACAATAGCAGAAAGAAAGTCACCAACTTCCCATTCAATTTTTCTGTCAATCTATAGACAAGAACATGAGAGACAAGGAAAGGCAAAACAATGAAATCTTCTTGAACAGTCTGGTGTCAGGCATTTAACATAAAGTATTCCTGTTACGCTTCTGATAAAAATGAGGGAACTATTTCTTGTATATTACACATAAGAAAGCAGCCACAAAGAGATTACATGAATTGCCTTCTGGTAAAAACTGATGACGACAAGTGATGAAGTTCTAATTCAAACTTGCTTCAAAACTCATATCATGCTATTTCCCAGTGTTTGAAAACTGCTCAAGAATAAAGGAAAAGAATGAGTCAACAGACTAAGAAGGCCATTCTATGCCAAGTGCTTTATTTTAAGAAGCCCCACTTCTACAGAATGAAGCCAGCTGAAAAATAGTAATTTTTCTCCCCTCATCATCTTAAGGTTATATTAGGATATATGTAATAAAAGATTACTGGGGGGGGCAAGGCATGTTATAGCCTTCCTTCCCAGGAAAGAAAGAAAACACCTATTTCTGAGCAGATGTTAATTGTGTTTCTCAGAAGAATGCACCAATTTTTTTTTTATTGCAGCTAGATCTAAACAGGCTGACTTGGAGTTATCCCACTAAGAAGGCTAATTGTCAGTCAGATGCAGTAATAAGCAACTTGGGATGTCTCATTATGCTTTTTTTCTGCTCATGCTCCTGCTGTTCATCTTATCAGAATCTCCCAAATAACATACCTGACTATCAAACATCCTTTTTCTACTCCTGGTCACTATCCACTACTCCAAGTGACCAAAGCAAAAAGAATGACAACTTAATGACCTCACTATTGCTTTAGGACCTTATGTTCAGCTTGGCCCATTCTGTAAGGTGGGGCTCCTTAAGGAGATGAGAATACCAGACCACCTTATCTGCCTCCTGAGAAATCTGTATGCAGGTCAAGAAGTAACAGTTAGAACTGGACATGGAACAACAGACTGGTTCCAAACTGGGAAAGGAGTACAGCAAGGCTGTATGTTATCACTCTGCTTATTTAAAACTTATATGCAAATAAATAAATAAAACTTATATGCAGAATACATCATGTGAAATGGTGGACTGGATGAAGCACAAGCTGGAATCAAAACTGCCAGGAGAAATATCAATCATCTCAGATGTGCAGATGACACCACCCTTATGGCAGAATGTGAGGAAGAACTAAAGAGCCTCTTGATGAAAGTGAAAGAGAAGAGTGAAAAAATAGGCTTAAAACTCAACATTCAGAAAACTAAGATCATGGCATCTGGTCCCATCACTTCATGGGAAATAGACGGGGAAACAATGGAAACAGTGACAAACTTTGTTTTGGGGGGCTCCAAAATCATTGCAGATGGTGACTGCAGCCATGAAATTAAAAGATGCTTACTCTTTGGAAGGAAGTTATGACGAACCTAGACAGCATATTAAAAAGCAAAGACATTACTTTGCCAACAAAGTCCGTCTAGCCAAAGCTATGGTTTTTCCAGTAGTCATGTATGGATGTGAGAGTTGGATTATAAAGAAAGCTGAGCATCGAAGAATTGATGCTTTTGAACTGTGGTGTTGGAGAAGACTCTTGAGAGTCCCTTGGACTGCAAGGAGATCCAACCAGTCCACACTAAAGGAGATCAGTCCTGGGTGTTCATTGAAAGGACTGATGTTGAAGCTGAAACTCCAATACTTTGGCCACCTGATACAGACAGCTGACTCATTTGAAAAGACCCTGATGATGGGAAAGATTGAGGGCGGGAGGAGAAGAAGACGACAGAGGATGAGATGGTTGAATGGCATCACTGACTCAATGGACATGAGTTTGGGTGAACTCTGGGAGTTGGTGATGGACAAGGAGGACTGGCATGCTGCTGTTCGTGGGGTCGCAAAGAGTCAGACTTGACTGAGTGACTGAAGTGATGTCTGATGTTGGCTGATCCTAGGGTTTTACATCAACAAAAAGGAAAATACAGAGACTGTACAAAAAACAAGCTTAAACAACAGTCTTGAGTTTCATCTCTCCTTTAAGATACCTAAGTATAGTGTTATTTTCTTAAGAACATACAGAGATGATGGTTAATAAACAAAGATAAGTATAATAATAAACAGATAAGTACAGGGGACTATTAAGTGTGTTTTGCTGATGCAAGGTACATTGGAGTAGGTGATAAAGTTAAGGGAGGGGGAAAAAAGTCTGAGAACACTCCCTGGTCAATTGGAGGAAGGATTTAGGATCCCTCATGAATTTTTTTCCTCAAAGGAGAGAAAGAGAAATTGTCAAGACCCCAAATTAACTCTACTCACACAGATTCACACAAAAATAGTCTATTCACGATAGCCTACTTCTTCCAAAAGAAGAAAGTCTCCAATCCTGACACAGGACATGGCTTAGGGTGGCAGAGAAGAAAAGGGCAATTCAATGCTTCTTCTAGCATTCTTTAACTCTCCTCACCCTGCAGGTCTTCCATCCAGCAATTCTGACTTGAGCTTTTATCCATTATTGGTATTTCCTTCATGGCTAAGGCACATTTTTATAATAGAAATCAAGAGGTATGAGAGAGAGAGGAAAAAGGCAGAAAAGAGTATATTCTGTATGTACATGTTGTGTGTGTGTGTGTGTGTAACAGAGAGAAGAGGGAGTTACAAAACTCCATTTAGTTATGCTCATTATCCTCTGATTTTTCTTCTTGAGTTGAATTTATCAAAAATTTTCACTAATTAAAAAAATCTAACAATTCAGTTTTATTTTGGTTTTTTTTTCTTGTCATAAGTGCAAAGTTTCTTACATGTTCTAAAAGAATGAGACAGTGAGCTTACTAAAATGTTATTATTTACTAAAGATTATGAATTATATATGAAATCATCAGGCTTTCATGGAAATTAAATAAAATGCTGATTGCAGGTTATAACCTTTTCATATTCAGTAGGCTTTTTTTCAAAAAAATTGTATCTCTTTATACTTCAAGCAACGTTAATAAGATAAACAGAAAGTTGATATTTCTCCTCAAATAAAAGTACCAATGGAAAAAACGTTGCTCTAAAATGTTCTTTTAATTAAAAAGAAAAAAGTCGAGTACAAGACAACACAAATACTAAGAAATACAGAATGCTGAAATATCTAGCCAAGAAAAAACTGTATTTAAAGTTATGCTACTTAAAAACAATTTAGCATACTACAAATGCTGTTTGCACAGCCTAGAATGAATATTTAAATAATGCAATCTGGAATGCTAAACTAACAGAAAAACACCAGAGGAGAAAGGAAGGTTTTAAAAATACACACATTTCTATCACAGATATAGTCTACTTGTCACTTGAGCTACAAATTTAACAAGTTATGCATTTTTTAATTTTCCAGACAAAAATCTAATGGAACACCTACTTTCAAAAACTATGTAACTTTCCAAAGACATACCTCTTGTATGTAGTTATTTTTCTCCAAGATAGAAAGAGCAACAGCTGCACACTCCAGTGTTGAAAGGCACCTATTAGTTGGTTGCGCCCGAATTACATACTGACTAGAAATGCTAGTTTTTAATTGCACCTGAAACCGAAAACAGAATAGAATTCAATTTTCGTTTTAGGTTTAAAACATAAGGTCTGTATTTTATATACTAATTATTCTAATTTCCTTCAAAAATCACCAGTTTATAAATATTAAATGTATCAATATCTTCTGTATATAAATCTTTTCATTATTGTTTTGTTAAAAAGAAGCAAGAAGATAGTTATGCATCTAACAAAGAAGATACATTCAAAATATATACAAATTCCTACAAAACAAAAATAATAAGACTAATAACCCCCTTCCAGTGGGCAAAAGAGTAAACAGACACATCACAGGAGAATATATACAAGTACAAACAGGTACACATAAAGGGCTCAACATGATTTAATATAAATTAAAATCACAATAAGATAACATCTCATACTCATTACTCCAACTCTTTTGCAACCACATGGACTGTAGCCCGCCAGCATCCTCTGTCCACGGGATTTCCAAGGCAAGAATACTGGGGTGCGTTGCCACTTCCTCCTCCAGGGGATCTTCCCAACCCAGGGACTGAACCTGTGTCTGCTGCATTAGCAGGCAGATTCTCTTCCACTGAACCACCAGAGAAGCCCCCTTTTACACCCATGAACAGTTAAAATAAAAAAGACTAACACCACCGAATCGGGATGCAGCAAATGAAACTCTCATACATTGAATTAGGAGTGAAAATGGTTTAATCACCTTGGAGAATTAACATTTGGGATTTTTTATTTTACAGTTTATTCTTCCATTAGTTTTTTAAATGTCTTTGAGGTCTCCCGTTGAATCTTTTTTTTTTTTTTTTGAATCTTTTTTAAACAATTATTATTATTATTTATTGTGCTGGGTCTGTTGTTACATACAGGTTTTCTCTAGCTGCAGAGAGTGGGGCCTATTCACTAATTTCACTGCAAAGGCTTCTCATTGTGCTGGCTTCTCTTGTTGCAGAGCACATGCTCTAAGCGCACAGGCTTCAGCAGTTGTGGCACGTGGGCTCAATAGTTGTGGCTCAAGGCACAGCTTGGTTGAGCCACAGCACGTGGAATCTTCCCAGACAAGGAGCTGAACCCATGTTTTCTGCATTGGCAGGCAAATTCCCAGCCACTATACCACCAGGGAAGTCCCTTCCATTATTTTTTAAACTGGTAAGTGTGTGTCTGTGTGGATGTGAATGCATATAAACACAGAGACATATACATATATATCCTCTTTTTAGATAAAAGTAGTAGCATACTACAAATACTTTTCTCCATCAAGATAATATTCTAACTGAGACAGTCACATATGAGAAAAGAAACAGACAAATGAATGTCAGAATTTTGGCTCTTTAATTCCGACTTTAATTACATGAAACTCAAGCATTATCCTATACTCATAAACTATATCCCAAGCCCATACTCTGACCAAAATCATATTTAAGAAAACATGATGAGAAATATGGTTCTTTCACTCTTCTTTTTGGCAAAATTCACAATGAATTTTGTTTATTGGAATTAATTTTATCTTTGAAAGAAAACGGGGGGCAGAGTTTTATTTCTTACTATGGCTCACATGGCTGTATGAAAACAGAATTTGAAATCTGTCATTTGTTAAAAGATTTCAGAATATCCTTCACAAATCATCTCTCTGGGGATTAATTAATTAATATATCCAGTAACTGGATATATTAAAAGAGTATACATAACTACTATCTGTTATATTAGTAGCATATGTTTATTAAAATGTTAATATGATCTCACAGCTCTTCTTTTTATACTTATGTGCTACATCACCTTCAACACATGCTAAATTCAATGAGTAAATGAGCAAAACCAAAAAGAAAACCTGTTGACCCATCTTCTTGAGAAATCACAAGCATCATAATAATTTTTAGAAACTCCCACATCTGCATGAATAAGAGGTCAAGAAAACCCATGGCAAAATTAGCTACTGTAAGAAAGAAAAAAATTAACATATAATAAAAGTATGTTATGTGGAAAGAGGAACTACTAAAGGGATAAAGATGACTATATCAAAGTTGACAATAATTAATTAATTTCAGTCAAGTCATTTAGTTTTTCAGTTCCTGCTCACCTGATAAAAAATCAGAAAGCCAGACATGATGGTATTAAAACCTATGCTTAGTTTTGAATCCCAAGATCATATAGTATATATGCAATTATAATTATATATTAATTATGTCATTATGATTAATGTGTATATTATATAATATATCATATATTGTGTGTAATTATTATATATAATCTTCATTTTCAATTTTTGGAAGCTATGTTGATGCAAAGAATGTTTCACTAATTTTGATCTTGGAAGTTGGTTGTCCAAGGGTAGAAGCTATCGAAGGACTCTTAATATGACCTCTTTAGGAACAGGAGTATCACTGGCTGGTTTAGAATTCTACTGGTACAGGTTGTAAGCCTATCACTTTCACTTTAGAAATAGCCAACTTATCCAAACCTTACTCCTAAGATGTAGCTTCAATCTTTTCCACTGATTTCCTGGATTAGCTTCAATTTTAATTCCTTAAAATTTCTTAAAATCCTTTCTTTCTCTTCCATTAAGTATATACTTAATGTATAAGAATACCAGATAACAGTTTGACAGCTATGATCACTGTTCAGATACCTTTTTAAACAGTCTGTTCAAATATTTCCTTCCTAGACAGACCTTCAGTTACTTTTGTGATTTGTGTCATTAAAAGTGTGGGAGATGTAGGAAGTTTAGTGGTTTAGTAATGACCTTTAGGACTCAGACAGCCAAAGGAACAATGAGCCATGGCTTATGTTTGCATAGCACATCTTTAAAATAAGTTGTTATAATATAGTTAATCCATTAGTTAAGAAAAATAAACAAAAAAAAGCCCTCAAAATTAAAATGGTAATCATCTCCACACTCCGCCCAACAAGCACTATATTTTTATAATTTGATGATGACTATTTGTTATCTGTTCTCAGGCTCTTTTAAGACATTTCATTACTACATAAAACTATTCTGTTTCTCACTCTATTATTAACAGTCACAAGAATTTTTAATCACTTGATCACGTTCCTTCAAGGTTTCTTCAGTTCAGTCGCTCAGATGTGTCAGACTCTTCGCAACCCCATGGACCTCAGCACGCCAGTCCTCCCTGTCCATCATCAACTCCCAGAGTTTACTCAAACTCATCTTCATTGAGTCAGTGATGCCATCCAACCATCTCATCCTCTGTCGTCCCCTTCTCCTCCTGCCCTCAATCTTTCCCAGCATCAGGATCTTTTCAAATGAGTCAGTTCTTCACATCAGGTGGCCAAAGTATTGGAGTTTCAGCTTCACCTTCAGTCCTTCCAATGAACACTTAGGACTGATATCCTTTAGGATGGACTGGTTGAATCTCCTTGCAGACCAAGGGACTCTCAAGAGTCTTCTCCAACACCACCGTTCAAAAGCATCAATTCTTCAGCACTCAGTGTTCTTTGCCAACAAAGGTCCATCTAGTCAAGGTTATGGTTTTTCCAGTAGTCATATATGGATGTGAGAGTTGGATTATAAAGAAAGCTGAGCGCTGAAGAATTGATGCTTTTGAACTGTGGTGTTGGAGAAGACTCTTGAGAGTCCCTTGGACTGCAAGGAGATGCAACCAATCCATCCTAAAGAAGATCAGTCCTGGGTGTTCACTGGAAGGACTGATGTTGAAGCTGAAACACCAATACTTTGGCCACCTGATGCAAAGAGCTGATTCCATTGAAAAGACCCTGATGCTGGGAAAGATTGAGAGCAGGAGAAGGGGACGACAGAGGATGAGATGGTTGGATGGCATCACGACTCAATGGACACGAGTTTGGGTAAACTCCGGGAGTTGGTGATGGACAGGGAGGCCTGGCATGCTGTGGGTCATGGGGTCGCAAAGAGTCGGACACAACTGAGCGACTGAACTGAACTGAACTGAACAGCTTTCTTAAAACCATAGCCTTGACTAGACGGACCTTTGCTAGCAAAGTAATGTCTCTGCTTTTCAATATGCTGGGTAGGTTGGTCATGACTTTCCTTCCAAGGAGTAAGCATCTTTTAATTTCATGGCTGCAATCACCATCTGCAGTGATTTTGGAACCCAAAACAATAAAGTCTGCCACTATTTCCCCATCTATTTCCCATGACATTATGGGACCAGATGCCATGATCTGTTTTCTGGATGTTGAGCTTTAAGCCAACTTTCGCACTCTCCTCTTACACTTTCATCAAGAGGTTTTTAGTTCCTCTTCACTTTCTGCCATAAGGGTGGTGTCATCTGCATATCTGAGGTTATTGATATTTCTCCCAGAAATCTTGATTCCAGCTTGCACTTCATTCAGCTCAGCGTTTCTCATGATGTACTCTGCATATAAGTTAAATAAGCAGGGTGACAATATACAGCCTTGACATATTCCTTTTCCTACTTGGAACCAGTCTGCTGTTCCATGTCCAGTTCTAACTGTTGCTTCCTGACCTGCATACAGATTTCTCAGTAGGCAGGTCTGGTATTCCCATCTCTTTCAGAATTTTCCACAATTTATTGTGATTCACACAGTCAAAGGCTTTGGCATAGTCAATAAGGCAGAAATAGATGTTTTTCTGAAACTCTCTTGCTTTTTTGATGATCCAGGGGATGTTGGCAATTTGATCTCTGGTTTCTCTGCCTTTTCTTAAACCAGCTTGAACATCTGGAAGTTCACGGTTCACATATTGCTGAAGCCTGGCTTGGAGAGTTTTGAGCATTACTTTTCTAGCATGTGAGATGAGCGCAATTGTGTGGTAGCTGAGCGTTCTTTGGGTGGCTGAGCATTGCCTTTCTTTGGGATTGGAATGAAAACTGACCTTTTCCAGTCCTGTGGCCACTGGTGAGTTCTCCAAATTTGTTGGTATACTAAGTGCAGCACTTTCATAGCGGCACTCTAAAGCTGCACTTCTAAAAGTTTCTAAAAAAACTCAATCTATTTTTTAGGCTTTATGAAACAACCCTAGTCTAGAACAAGCTGAAATAAACTTTTTAGTGACATTCT